ATAATATTTTGTTTTATGTTTCAATTACATTTATTATATTTACATATATTTTCTGAAAATGAATTTGATTTGTTAAAGCTATACTTTATATTGTTATCTATTATTTATGGGTTCAACAGAAAACACTTTTTGTTGGAAATCCTTCATTATTAATTAGAACTTGATATTGCATATATGCCTTTAACTCTTTAACTGGAAAACAAATTTAACATGTACTTTTTACAAGGATAAAATTCAGAATAAATCCAATTATAAAAGGCAAATGTTTAAGGATTATTTCACAATTTCTTGATATATTATTTTGCTTTAAAAAATGAGCAGTAGAAATTTGTTTTCTAACTTTAGATTGTTCAAAAGCACATCTTAGTTTTGTGAAGACATAAAATAATCAAAGAAAAAGGAATTACAGGAATGATTTTCATCAGAAACTCTCATGAAACAGCCACTTTGTTAAATCTTTTTATCTCCTTTAAAGAAAGACTTTTTTTAACCTGAAGCTAAAAATATATAGAAAGATAGAAGAAAGGAATGGGATGGGGAGAGGGAAGAATGTTTAAAAATTATTAAATTAGCCACAAGAATTTGAGTACTAACCGACGCAGTTAAATAAGGTTAATAATCTTAGACTTCCATGTCTTTAATTATAGGTTCTCTTATTTTTTCTGAATTTTGGGGTTCTTTCTCTGAGCTTTGATATTGGACTTAAGAGTTTTTTCTAAGATCCCCAGATTTGAGCATTTCGTTTAAGATCACAAGGTAGATCACTAAATGGGCACTCGTGCCATATTCCCGTCACTACTGTTCTGCTTCATATTGAATTGCGTGACTGTCAAATCTGTGTCCCTACTTTAAAGAAGTTAGGGATATGAAACTGCTTTGAGACCCCAAGAGATGTGTGTGTGTGTGTGTGTGTGTGTGTGTAAAAGCAAACAAAACTAATACTCTTCGAAGTGTACTACAGAAATCACTGAAGGTGTCCTGATGATCTGTGCAGTACACATGTAAATAGTGAAACCTAAACAATTACTGGCTTGCTACCCGTTAACCTGGCCATTTTCAATGACATCTCTGGATACAAAATCCACTTGTAACTTAACTTTTTTATTAAACCTGATTGTCTTAACAACATTATAAAAATGACATTAACTTTCTGGATATATTAAGTAGTCTTTTTTAAGTTCAAAATAAACATTGATTGATTTAAGTGTATTGATAAGAACAAGTAAAACTTTTAAATTGTTTATATAAAAAATAGCTTACAGAACATGTGACATAATTTTAGGAAACACGTTAAATCAGGAGCAACAAAATATTGGATATTTTAAATTAAGTGACAAGAGAATGGAACAGGAGTTTCCAATTCGAGGAAAACAAATATTTTGAGATATTTATGAATTCCAGCACATCTATATTTGACATTTCTCTTTGTTCTCAGCCTTAAATATTTTAGAGTGGAAAAAGCAAAGCCTTGTATAATTTAAATGCATTATTAGGAAAACTAATGAGGCAATTTGAATATCGCAGTTTAATACACTTAAACCGGTTATCTCTTCAAGAAATAGACACAAACTTATGCAAACTTTTGTTGTGAATGTATTTACCCAAGAAGTTTGTCCCATTAAACTCTTAATCAGTTTTTATTATAATTTGAAAATGCTGTGATATTTTATTTAATTTTGAATATATAACCGCTAATTTTTAGCATGCTTAAATTACAAAAGCACATCATTAAGATGTCTTTTATAATAAGCATAGGTGTTGTCACATATAAGAATATGAATTTTAGAAATTCTTAGATAAATTTACCCCTCAAACCCCTAAGCTATTATTTCCTACAATGTATTTTTGAGATTATTATAGCAAGATATTAACAGCTAATAGGTGAGGAGTGAGATTTCTGTGATCAAATGATTATTCTTTACTGCAGAATTTTCAGGACCTTTTATATGCAAATTTGAAATGTAAATCTGAAAGAGAGGAGATTGAAGAAAAACCTGCCTCTTTGACACATTCACTTATTTTCCTTTTATAGAAGTGTAGAGCATTGGACATCAGAATTGAAAGTTTAGAAATTACATAATCCATTCCTCAACCAGATAATGAACAGCTTTTCTACTTGCAATGATTCCTCTAAATTGTTTTTTGTTCTTGGGAAAGAAAAAAAAGACTGGGTTTGACTGAAATCAAAATAATGTTATTGAAAATATTATTCTTGGGTTATTTTCATTAGTGAAAAGAACCAGCAGAGAAAAATCAAGTTGTTGGTGGAGAATCCTTTATGATGGATCTCTTTATCAATAAGTTATTTTCTTTTCTAAGGATATCATTGTTTGTGAAGTGTTTTATATATATATAACAATGTAGAAAAGTAATGGAAGACTTTATGTGAGCCACATAATTTTGGAGAGAGGCATGTCTGGTTACTGTTTGTCCAAAAGATTAACCTCATGGGAGAATTTAAAGTTCTAAGTCTATTTACCCAGATTTGTTGTCTATATAGTCACTAAGGTGGTCCCTTGAGATGTCATTGGTTAAAGCTCTAAAAAAGAAATTTTCCATTTAGTGACCATCTATAGATAACAATTGAGTCTGGAGTTAAGAGATGTATTTGAGATTAGAATTTAGTAGATAACATACTTGTTCTGTCACTTTCTCTGTTGCATCTTTGTTGGCTTATAGCAAATACAGATTAATATCCTTCTTAGCTGCCCTTGCCCCCACAGCCCCAGTTATTTCTTTGTATCTTCTTAGATTTCTTTTAATAGAGTCTTGTAGTTTTCATTGTAAATGATGTTCTGAAAGAGAATCCATAAACCTGATTCTATGAAATATTTAAACCATTACTAAATATAAAGGCTCTTTTGCAAAGAGCAATGTTAAATCAATACACTTTAACACTGGCGTGGGCAAACTATGACCCACAGACCAAATCTGGCCTGCTGCTTGTTTTATAAATAAGGTTTTATTAGAGTACAGCCACACTCATTTGTGAATGCATGTCTGTAGCTGCCTTTATGTTACAATGGTAGTTTCATCAGAGACCATATACTCTGCAAAGCTTAGGATATTTACTATTGGGCCCTTTCCAGAAAAAGTTTGCAAACTCCTGCCAGTATATATCCCATTACTACCTAGTAATCAGAAAGAATTTAATGTAGCTTCATAAGAGGTCATTGTCCAGAAAATAGTCTAAATACTAGAAAATGCGTAATACGTATGTGTATATATCTGTACGTATGTGTATATATATTTATATGTGTATATATATAATGTGTTTAAACTTTTTGTCTGTTGGTGTTATTCATATCTAAAATATTTTTTTACTATAATATCAAAATGAAACTTTTTTAAAGAAATATCCCACACTCTCAATTTAGCTAATATTTTTTCAGTACACATAATTGTTTGATGTTAAGATGGCTTTTTCTTCCCTTGCCCTTGGAGAAAACAAGCATATTTTTTCTAGAGTAACTCTTGAAGTACAAACAACTCCAAAACTATTTTAATTGACTAATAGACTTGATACTTGACTATATTTCACATTCATATCATAGAGGCACTCACTTAATTTTATGTATCATCCAATTTATATTAACATGATATGTATATACCCCATTTTATAATTTGACATATAATCAATTAATCAAATCATTAAAATGTGATTTTTAAAAGGAACTAATTTTTTCACTTTATTGAATAGTTGATATAAATTTGCTGTGATACTTAGAGGTCATATAATGTAAGCTCTTTATATATTCTTTTATTCAAGATTTTCATACTCTTCTTTGAAACATTTTCTTCCCTTTTTACCTTATTTAATTGATTTCTACTTAAAATTTGTTACTATCAAGAATTATTGGGTATACAATGAGATTTTCTTTCAAGATAAGTATTAAAATACCTATTTTTGAATAGGCATAGTTTTATCTAGGTATCTTTACTACAGTTTTAAAGGTATGATCTTAAGCAAGGGGTTTGTATGTGCGTGTTTACATTCCTGCCTACACTCAGAGCTGGTGAACTTACCTGACAGCATTTTATTACAGATACTCACTCGAGCCTGCTAAGCCATGATGATTTTTCCCAGTTAGTAGACTTCTAGTATACAGTTGAGATTTTGTTCTTACATTAAGCATTTTTATGAGAAGCAGAATTTTTATATAAAATCTCTTTAATAAAAATCATAAATATACTTATAGAGCATTTTTTATGTTTCCTAAAATTTGCTAACAGAATTTAGTACTTGTTCTAACTAAAGTTTTTAAAGACCCTCTTGATATCTATAAATGATATGTTTTGAGGTAACACCTGTAATAGAGAGTACTAACCTCATTTTTATAATAGGTTTACATCTCAACTTTCTCACCTCCTTACATTCTTTTCTTTTAAAAAAATGATTTTAGTAATACTTTGTGCCTTTACTGGCATGATATCTTCTGAGGAGTATTATTCTAAGTGCCTCTTTCTTGATCCTAGTTCTAGAAAGTTCAAGTTCAAAAGATCTTGATAATTGCATTGACATGTATGCTGGGGCAACTTGTTTTAATACGTGGGCTAAGTTTATGATAATAGTTTCTAAATGTAATTGTAAAATTGTATATGAAACCAATTAAACTTACAACTTTTCTCCACTAAATAAATAAAGTCTTGATGACTTAAAAGCCAAAGTTCCTATCATAATACTGCTGTCAAATTTATGTGCTGTCAAATATATTCTCCTTGACCTACATGTTCCAGAAAGCATTTTCTGTCTAGTGAAGATTTGTTGTCTTTTGTTCATTTACATTTATCCAGATTAAAATTATTTTACATACTTAATAATCATGCTTTTATTTGCCAAAATGCATACTTCAAATAAATCTAAAAATAATACACTTAATTTGTACGTACTACCTTGATATAGGTAATATATCAGCCTAACATTTCTTATTTTATACATCCTGTAAGAGCCAGAAATAAGAACTGAACATTAATTTTATGGGTTTTTTTCTACTCGATAGGTGCTATGGATATAGAGGAGAGAAATCGCCAAATGAAAATTAACAAATACAAACAGGTAGCCGGATCAGATTCCAGACTGGAACAAGATTACCATGCGAAGGCAAGATATTTTCCTTTTTAAAAGTTGTAAAATAATCAATTATATGAAACCATTAGATTCTCTTAAACAGGTGAATGCAGATTAGTCAGACATGAACATATAATGCAGTGGCCCCATGATATTATTAAATGCTAAAATTTATAATGTATTTGTACACCAACTTTTAGGTATAGAATTTGCCTTATTTAAAAAAAAATGATTATATAATATAGGAAATAAATGATCTGAAAAACAAATCTTTTAGTTTTTTTTTAATAAAACCTATAAAGGCCCTAAAACCCTCAAAAATGTTTAGGAAGAACTTCTGTTACCTTCTTATGGTTTTCACACATGTAGAATGTTTTTGATTCTATAGTATTTTAATTGAGTTTGGTTTATTAATGAGTTATTGAAACAAGATACATACTCATGAGGTGTTATAAGGAGTTCAAATGGTTTTTTAGTGAGGTATGATATTTACCAAGGTAGGAACAAAAAGAGTATTATTTCATTGTTCTTGCTCTTTATTGCTTTTATATTTTCAACACATTTTTAGGTTCATGATATTATTCATCACCAAAGTCATAAAAAGAATTTGCTCTAATGTACCTAAGATTTAATAAAAGAATGAAAATTGCAAAACTTACTCTTAATAATTAGTTATTATATGCTCTATTACTTAGTAATTTAATCATTGCAATCATGGAATATTTATGGTCTGTGTATCTGTGCATTAGAAAAAAGCAATTTGGATTTTTAAGTCTATCTTATTCTTACCTACTAAATACTAAACTTTCAGTTTCTCTTCATGGTTCTTTCTTCGGTAAAGTCAAGACTTAAGGAAAGCATAACTGGCTATATTGGATATGCATATGTTATGGTAGCACAGGTTGCTAGTTCCTCCACTATATAACCTAGAGGAGGCAGAGATTCTTAGATCAGCATCATCCTCCAACCCACCAGTCTCTACCCCAAATTACATGAATACTGATATGGTGAATACAGGATTTTTCATCACAATTCTGGTGTACTGTAAATGGCCCAGGCTATAGCCAAGAGAAGGATAAATTTAAGACAAACAAAAATAGCCCTGCCTTTACTCACTATGTTCTAAAGTTCTAGAAATTTTTCTCTAAAATGAAAATATAAATAACTTCAAATCAGTTGAGTGACTTTTATAGAAAATAGTTTTATAATTATATAATATTTCAGATACATCCCTAACCTTTTGAGCTTGATATCAGAAATGATACCTGTATCTTCCCAGGTACTTTTGTTGGTATTTCTGCCTTGGGTTGAATAGATAGACCTGACCTTTTGTGGCATGTATTATGTTCTAATCTCTCATTTATTCATTTTATATAATTCAAAGACCAAAGCATGAAATCCTAATAAAACAGGATACTAAAACTTCTGTAAACATGTGTTCAGGTAACATAGATTTGTTTTGTTTATTTATATCCCACTATACTTCAGAAAGGAATGTAGATGGTTTTTAAAAATACGTATAATCTCTCAATACTATTGTCAATGAAGAAATGAATACCAAGGGAGAATGAAGTCAAGGCAAAACAAAGTAAAGTTTTTGAACAAAATGCATAGTGTGAGATCCTATATACCTGTTACATGTGGGGTACATACTTGGACAATGAGCTTCCTAACAAGCAGCAAAGAAAAAGGGAACTGCGTCAGTTGTATGATTCACATAGTTCATACAATAAAAACAAGTTCCTTAGAAGCAATACCAATGATTCATATGGATACATGACAAATTTCTTAAAGGAAGATGGACTAAAGAATACTGTAGGCATGGCTCAAAATATTTTTTTAGAAAACATGTTTTGATTCCATTCCAATTCACATATAAATAAATACTTGAGGCTTTAAACTTTTATAAGTTTGACACCAATTATTTTATGCTAGGAAAAAATTTAAGTCTTGGCAATGGATTAATTATGCTAAGCAATATAATTTCCTAGGTATTCTCTCAGGCAGTGGGGTTCAAAGTGTGGTCCCAGACCAGCAGCGTCAGCATCACCTGAGGACTTTCAGAATGCATTTCCCTTGCCTGCTCTAGACCTCCTTAAGCAAAACTGAGGGGGTGGGGTCTCTGTGTTTTAACAAGCCTACCTGGTGATCTGAGAACTACTGCTCTAAGGGTAAGCTGCTTATAAAATTTACTTCTAGGTAACTGAATGAGTTGACTTCCAAGTTAGGCTTTTAGCTAGAAACCAGTGATGTATGATGTCATTAAAAACTGGAGACTTTGTCTTGAGAACAGATGATCTGACACCTTACAATGTGTCTCATAGTTTCTAACAAATTCTATTACTTGAGTATCGAATACTTATCATTCTGTTTTCTATTGCTGGAGTTATACATTTGGCTTAACCAAAAATGTAATCGAGTCGTTAAGGTACAACTTTTTTAAAGGGTCCAAAAACACAACTCTGTTTTGTTTCACTACAGATTATTTCCTGATGTGGAACTATCTTTGCCGGGTCATCTGTCTTCCTGTCATCCTTAGCTTGATCTTCCTCTCTCATAAATCCAAAAGAAAATTATAGAGGATTCTTTATCAGTCAAAGGCTTTTACAGATTTGGTTATTATTAATTTTCATACTAATAGTTCCTTTATTAAAAATTTCAACAGCATCCCTCTCTTTTTAATTAAGGATATTTACTTATATTTTTATTCTATTCCTTTCTTCCTTATTTTGATAACAAGTGCCAATTGAAAGTTTGCTATTGAGCTATATGATTTAATATTTTAGAACTAATTCTTAAAAAAAGAATTTAACAGATAAGGGAACTAAGATATAAAAAAGTTAAGTAATCTACTCAAATTTACATAGCCACTAAGTCATGGAAAGCATTATTTGTAGCTAATTTTTTTTTCAAAATTGAGATAACTGAGATTATATCCAATGCCTCAAACATACGGAGCATATGCTTTAGTTCTGAGCTATATTTCTGAAGTTCCAGTGACGCTATTAGGAAGCTTTGATAGAATCTGATTGATAGTAGTTTTGTTTTTTGAACTACACAGTCTACCTTTTAAATGGCATTGCCTCCCTGAATTTCTTAAACCTTCTATACCGATGGTTGTAAACAATTCTTACTAACTTTTTAAAAAGATTTTAGTAACTCACTTTGAAAGCATCTGTAGAGCAATGGTTATTTAGTTACTGTCTTTCTAAGACTATCTTAAGTATATTAGGCAATTTGAAAGCCAAGAGTCTATATTTAATAAGAGCAACAAAAGTCATGTGCAGACACAATTTCTATTTAACCAGTAGATGATTTCTTGGGGGTTTTCCTTCAAAACAAAATTTAACAATGTAGCCGTTGTACCCTTTCATGCCTATAGCATTTTGTCCATCCCATTTTAAATGTGATTCATCTATTCTACTCAAGGCAGAAATTTAAGAATCAACTTTTATTTTTTCTATAAAATCAACATTCTCTGCTCTTTATTGCTCTAGCAAAATGTGACTTGTCTATTAAATTTAATAGTACAAATTATAATTCACCATAGACCAACTACCCTATAATGGCTAATTAACATAATTAGCAATAATCAAAAAATCAAACAATGTGTATAGTACTTTTGAAAATTAATTTGGAGAATTCCATGTTTATTTAAATATATGATCTTATTTTTTAAATTAGCCATATTTAATATTTTTAAATGATCCCAGAAGATATTTTTTAAAGGGTAGTCCATAACATTTCAATAGAGAATGCTCTACAGTTCATTTGTACAGTATTTATTTGCAACTCAAAGTTTATTTCTCTGTAGAAACAACGTGCTTTTTTAAATGGCGGTAATGTTCCCACAGAATAATCACAAAAACATCTTACTCCTATTACAGCACTTGTATTATAATTTTCTGTATTCTTATCTCTCTAGAATTAAGTAATATAGCCCATAAATTGTTCAGAACTTTTCAAATATGGACCAGAAGTCCATACTAATCCATTTAACTCATAATCTAATAGATCGAGTTACTGCTGTGGGATCAGAGGACAGTGTAGCAAAAGCAAGAGTTTTTCTCCATTCATGTGCAAGCCTGCTCCTATGCACATATCACTTTTTCCCCTAGACTTTTTGTCCTTTAAGGACCTATTCACCAGTTTCAAAGAGACATATTACAAGGAAAGCAATCAAAGTAATAAGTAATTTGCATTATATGAATAACAACATAGAAATAGATTCTTTAAAATATATATATATATATGCCCCTAAATAGAAATAAAACCTACATGGTTGAATTGTAGGCCGTATCAATATGAAAAAATTCAGACAGGTAAAGATAAAGTATTTTTGGCAAGCAGATAGCCATTGTTAACTAAGCCATTCCCTTTATTAGAACTTACTCTGTTCTCAACGCTGAAATACATACTCAGTGCCAGCTGTGTTTTTAAATTGATTTTGAAGACATAGGCAATAGGGACACCAGAAGCCGTGAGACAGGGTGAGGCTCATTAGGAGTGGCCAGATATGGGCTGTTTATAAGTTTGATGTTTGTAAGTTAGGAGTACTTTAAGGCTCTAATATCATCAAAATGTGGCAGATGTCCATGAGTATAGTGTGGTAGATGAGAACACAGCTTGGAGTCAAGCAAACTCTACCTAGGTGACTTTGGATAGATTAACCTCTCATTTTTAGTTTATTTATTAAATGGAGCTTTGAGATCTATTTCATAGGGCAATGATTAGGGTGAAATGCGATGATGTATATAAATGGCTTAGCATTTAGTAAAATGCTCAATAAATGGTGCAGATAATGTTTGTAATTATTATTTTTATAACAACAGCAGATGTAACCATGGTACCAGAAATGAATATAATGAATTTGAAAAACAATAGTAAAGAAATAATTAAGCTAATGAAAAAGATTTAGTGTTACTGAAATATTGAATGTTTCCTTTATTCTCAAAGAGATTCGAGTAGCAGAGATCTAAAAGGAAAAATCAAATTTAGGGGGAAAGAATTTATGAATCTTCAGGGGATATGGA